TGGTTTTTTCTCAATTTGTCTTCTGGAGCTATGCTATGCCCTGTAGGGGTCTTTTTTTCATTATTTAGAATTTGACTGCCTCTACCTGGAACGTAGACAGCGTTGGGGCACTTCCCTCAAGCTCCTGGACTATTTCTGACCATCTTGCCCCACCTTCCCTTTTTCTTATTCTTTCTTTCCAGTCCCACCCGGATGTTATACCTGCCTCTGCATATGTCTCTTTCTCTTTGAACATTTTTGTTTGTGGTGTGGGTATGTGAGTCTGTCTTAACACCTTTCTCTAAGTGTGTGGGATAAAGCAGGAGAAGGAATTAATTTGAGCAGTAGGAAAAGATTATGTTAAAAATGAGCCACTGATATTAGAAAAATAATTTTAAGTTTAAAGGCCTCACAAGTGCATAAAATTGAAACTCAATTAATATAGGCCAGTATTATGCAAATCTTGCTTTTTGCCCATCATCCCATTTTGGTCAATTACACACTTTTTACAGAACAGCCATTCTCAAGCAGTACTTTCTTCAGTGTCTTTAAGATTATTATAAATTCTAAAAAAAAAAGCCACCCCAGAAGTCTTTCTTAGAAAAGAAGTTCATTTAAAGTCGCTGTGGTTGAAAAGACAATTATGTGCCTCCTGGCAGTTTTGGGAGAGTAGCTGTCCCCAAACGGAGCCTCCAAGGACAGATTGTCAAAGCCTGGAGGGCAGTCATTGGCATGTAAACACCAGAGCCCAGCAGGGGTCTTCAGGGCCCAGAAGCGAGCTGCTCGCCCCGAGTAAATGCTGCTTAGTGTTAGAGCTTCCTGGAAGTCACTGGCACAGGAAGTTCTGAGTGTTGCTGCCAAGGTTTGATGTTTGCTGCTTGGGGCTCTGAGGGGCACAGTCAGCAGCATGTGGCTCCACCGCGAGTGGGAATCACAAGATCCCGGCTCTGCTGAGTCCACTAGGGCGTTCTCTGAAAGAGCTCTTGGAGAAATAGTGAAAGCAGGATTTCATGCATAGACAATGTCCGTGTTCATAAACTGAGAAACATTTCATTCAGTGTGTCTTAACTATGACGAAACATGCAGCTACCCAGTTTGGCTAGTTCTGGCGTATAGAAATGCAGAAGCTGAGCCTTACACCCAGTTTCCCATTCAGTGGCATTTCCAGCAGCACCCCTGCGTGCCCCAGGGTAGACTTAGCCTGCCAGGAGAAGGTACAGGGAGCAGCAAGTGAAAGATGTAGCAAGACTGACTCAACTTTCCCATCCCGCTGGAGAAGACCAGGAGGAGAGCTAGAAGTGTGGTGGCGTAACTCAGAAAACTGGCTTACATGTCACCAGGGAGGAGGTGATGCAGAAAAATAGAGCAAAGGCTTGGAGGGCTAGAAGTCAGCCTGGCCGACACTGCAGTGCGTGACTGGAGTTTCAGAATAACGCCCTCCCCTGCCTCTTCTGATTATAATGGAGTAGCTGCCGTTCTCCAGGATCGGGCATGTGAGTCTGGAGTCCATCCGTCCCTGTCACAGGGCTGTGGGCAGCATGGAGAAGTGGGGTCGGAAAGACCTGGAATCCATTCCTGCTTTGTCTTTCTCCCTGTGCAGCTTAACCTCCCTGGGCCCCAATTTCCTTGTCTCTGCCATGAGATATTTACATACCTCCAGGAGTTTTTGCAAGAATTAAGTGAGGTAATATTAGCAAGTTACTGCTTACTATTGGGCACTTAATAATGAGAGCGGCTATTATTTTTACTCATAAGCGTAGGTAAAATTCGCTTCCATTAGGTTTGCAAGACAAACATTAAAAATTAACAGAATCAATTACACATCCCCTGGAACTTGTCCTAGCTGCTGATGTTCAGATGAGTCTGTGCAACTTCAACTTGCCCACTTGAAAGTTGATGAACTGAAATCCATGTGTCAGGTTCGGATCCCCTGGACACTGGGAAAAATGAAAAGCTTGTTCATAGAGACCCCCTTGCCCTGTGCTAGCCTGGGATGGGGGAGCTTTCTTTTTCCACCCACACCAGATAAGTAGCTTTAAGAACATTCAGTCATTCAGACTTCTCTGTTGCCTTCACCTACCCCCCGCATCTTTTCTTCTAACTTCCAAAATACACAAATTAACTCCCCAAGCCATGCTGGTTTTTTCCATCTCAGAAGAACTATTTCTCATTTTCTTCTAACAAGTCTTGTAGAAGTCCATATTAGAAGGCTCTAGGGAGCAGCAAAAAAATTTTAAAGAACTGAGATTTTTTTAAAACAATCGTTGAATATTTAAAAGCCATTTTTCTGCCATGAAATCTTTGCTCATCTCCAGAACCAGGTAATCGTTATAAATTAACCCTCATTTTACCATCTGCTGATAGGCTGTAATTTCTCCATGATTCAGAGAGATACAGGGTTTTGATCTAAAACGGTAGGCTGGATTTTAAGCAGTACCTACACTGGTTCCTAACTAAGCTAATTTTTCATTTGACAGGCACCATTTTTCCAATCAAATCTCTGCAATCAAAGGTGATTTTTAGTTCTTTGATGCTGTGGCATTTTATCATCAGAAGTTCTATTAAAAAAAAAACAGGCAACACAAAATTCTTCAGAATGGTACTCAAATGTATGTTTCTGGATCCCATTTATCTCCTCTGCCCTGTTCTCAAAAGTTGACATAAATAGGCTTCCATATTCAGTTGATAACAGGGTAAGACTTGGCTGTGTTGGTAGAAGAACTTTAAGCCATGTTCCACTTTAAGGATAGGAATTAGTCAATATTAAAAGCAAAAAGAGGGAAGAAGGAGAAAAGATAGCTTGGTACCTGAAGCCTTTCTGTTACTGGCGCTGGGGAGACCCGGGACAGATAAAATGGGGAGAGGAGAGGAGGTAGAAGGGGTGATAGAGAGGTTGTTTTTGAATGCTACTCAAAATAATAGCAATGTAAGCTTTAATTACATTTTATAAAATATTCTGGCCTTTTCTGCTCTGAATCTTAAAATGGTTTGCATGGAGACAAGGACTTGATTGACACTTAGCCATCAACCTGTTACATCAGATTCTTTGACTTGTCTTTGCAGGTTAGTCCATATGCTTTATTAAAGTTGTTATCAATTTTAAGGGAAGGAGTTGAGTCTTGATTTTGCATTCGTTAATTCTGAATTCAGGTTAGTGAGCTATTAGAAAACGGAGAAGGCTGACTGTTTCAGCCCGAACTCCTGTTGGAGAAACACTTCATTCAGAGGGATCATCGTGGTTGTAGTCACTAAATATGCTGTGTTTCCAGAATGGTCCCAGTTGAAAAATCTGTTCCCGTGAGCGCACCTGTGGTCTCATTTTTAGTTCAGCACAGGTACTTCTGTAAAGGGTTCAGGTCTGGACTTGGGTTTGCAAGTCGTAGTGCCCTGGTGTTCAGCTTGTGCTGCGCCCTTGGAGAACCAGCTCACACCACAGAAGCCCATGTGAGTTTGATTTGTTCCAGAGTCACAATTTAGACACTTACCCAAGCAGCATCTTTGCAGAGCAAACCGTATAACCACAGTGGCTGTGGATGTGCGGTGTTCCAAGGAACGACAGCTGTGTGAGGAACCAGAATAAGGTGAAATCAAAACAAAGGATTATGATGGCTTTCTCAAACTGTTTCTTAGCTGCAGTGCCTCTTTGCTAAATGATATTGTATGTGGAACCTTAGCATATAAAACAGGTCCCAGCTGAGCAGGGGAGCTGGAACCCACACCTCTGGGCCTCCCCATCCCACCCAGCAGCAGGCCTGGGGGCTCTGGAACTCGGCATGGTGGACCAGAGACAGTGTGAGCACCCATGCATCCCTCTCGGCCCCTGTTTCTCACTCAGACAGGCTGGGGTCCAGCTTTGCTTGTGGAATTTCTCTTGAGAGGATCTTTGGCTATTTGTCCCCATGCTGGGGACAGGAGCAGATGTTGTGAACTACAGGGCTGTCTGATTGGGTGGGATCTCCAAACCCAGCTCTGAACAGTGGTCTGCCATGGGGCAGCTTCCGGTGCTTGGCTCCTCCTCTGTCCGCTGGGCTCCCTGGTGTGGCTGGATGCCGGTGCAGGACGGGGGAAGCGGGGGACGTGTCACTTGGTTCTCTTACCGTAACTGAATGTCTCCTGATTATGTTTTGTTTTGTTCACTAGATGATGATTCAGATCTGTACTCTCCTCGATATTCCTTTTCTGAAGACAGTAAGTGACCGAGAATTTCTTGGTTGCAGGGGAGGAAGGGAGGGTGGTGAATGAGGGAAGCCGTCTTCCTGTTTTCAGTTTTCATCTGTTTTAAAAGTCTTTTGCACCCCTTTTCCTTCTCCAGCAAAATCTCCCCTTTCTGTGCCTCGCTCAAAAAGTGAGATGAACTATATTGATGGTGAGAAGGTAGTTAAGAGGTCGGCCACACTTCCCCTCCCGACCCGCTCTTCTTCGCTAAAATCAAGCCCAGAGAGGTAAGTGCTCTCATCCACAGACTACCGTGAAGTACACCACTCCGCTGAGTCAGGCAGCCCTGAAGCCAGGAGTCAAGCTCACCTGATTTTGAATCCCTGCTCTGTCACTTATTAGAAGTGACTTACTTTTTCTGAATCTCAGTGTCCTCATCTGTAAAATGGGGATACATTTTACATTTGTAGGGATGTTTCAAGGATAAAACAAGATCATGCACATAACATTTCTAGTAGTGCCTGGCTCATAGTCTGGGCTTAAATGATGATAATTACCATCACTTTTTACCTTTTCACGAGAGAAATCTTAGCTGTAAGATTTGTCATGTGTTTTTATACACTTTGTGCATGTTCGTGGCCTGTAGCAGAGAATATCATTTTAAAATGATGCCACATTTAAATATCTATTTACTTAGGCAACACGTTATCAAAACATAAGGCTTGGACTGGTTGTCCTGATGACGTTAGTCATCTCTTAATGCCCGCAGTAGATGACCCAATTTTCTTTCATTGAGTCTTACGCCTCTGAAACAGCCTCCTGTGCCCTCTGAACCAGGGTCCCAAGCATCTTACAGCTCTGTGTTCCACCACTGCTGAACAAAAAAAGGCTCTGGCCAGACTATTATTTACTTTTCCCTTTAATACACAGTCAATTTTATACCTTCATACGTTTTCCATCTTCCTAGACAAATGAAATTCTGTTATTAAAATCCCACATGTACGTAAGTGACATCTGCGTGAGGCGTTTGATAATTAACTTGGAAGGAAGACTGGGTACGCCCATAAATCCTTCTGAGTGCATTCATCAAGCTCCTACTGGATGCATTCTGCTTGCAGATTGAACCAGATGCCATGGAGAAATTTAAACATATCTCAGTCATTGTCCCTGCCTTCAAGAAGTGTACAGCCTTGCAGGGAAAGCTGAACATAATCAGAGTGCAAAGTGCAATTATGTGCATGCATAAAAAAATTTGCAGACAACCTCCGAGGATTCATGTATCCTCTGAAACACATCCCTGGATCAGGTTAAGTCTTTGTGCAAAGGCTGCAGTTTTGGTGATTACTGGGGTGGGGTATGGAATAGGAAGGAACATGGTTATAATAGCAGATAACACTGACTGAGTGGTTACTCTGGGCCTGGTGCTCTGCTAAGTGACTTACATGCTGAGACATCCTGCTTCTTTTAATCCTGACAACACCCCCATTTTTCGGATGAGGAAACTGAGGTAACAAGATGAAGTGCTCGGCCCAGATCACCTAGTTCGCAAGTGCTGTCGCAGGGGCTGGAGCCCCAGCTGACGGGCTCCGGGACCTGCGTTCTCTCTCGGGCACTAGCGTGAGTGGAAGTACAGGCATGTTTGGGGAATGATAAGCTCCCGAGAGCAGAGCAAGGTGAAAGATTTCTCCAGAGCGAGCTTTGCTCCGGCTGCTGCTTCCCCTCTTCTCTCTCTCTTCCCTCTGCTGCCTGGTGCCTGGTTGTGAGCTCAGGACACTGCAGACCTTTTGTGAAGCAGAGATCTAACTGGTTGTTTTGAGAAGGAAACCAGCACAACTAAATGCTGCGTGCTGAGTCCGATTTTGTGCCTCAGATACAAAACTTCCTTGATTAGACTACCGTCAGCCGAAGTCAGACCTGTCGGATGCCAGTTTTCATGAAAATAGCACTAATAGGATTTTCTTTCTACAGAAACGACTGGGAGCCCCCAGATAAGAAAGTGGATACAAGAAAATACCGGGCAGAGCCCAAAAGCATTTACGAATATCAGCCGGGCAAGTCCTCCGTTCTGACCAACGAAAAGATGGTAATGTGCACACTGAAGTTCTTTTGTCTCACCCTGCCCGTGTTCTTTAATCCGGATGCGTTGTGCACTTGGATTTCATTCTTTCTCCCTTGAGACAGACTTGCTTTGTTTAGAAGACAATGAAAAAATGAAGTATTTTTACCCTTTTCATTTTTGCAGGTATTCACAAAATAAGTCCCGAGAGTCTGCTCTGAAAGAACCCTCTCCTTGTGGCTTTGCTGCTGTTTCTGTGCGTGGTTTTCACTAATTTAAAAAATAGTTTTCTAATGTAAAGATTGATTTTGCCACTGTCTTTTTTAAAATGTTTAACCATTCATTTATCAGGCTTGTTACTAACTGGACTGCAGTCAGGGTTTTTGCTGTTGTTTTTTTTTTAAAGGGATGCCTTATTTGCATAAACTTGTGGAAGCTACTAGTACTTCATCAAAAGCCAAATAATTTGTATGATGATGTGACTAGGGGGGAAGAAAGCCCCAGGCTGTTAAAACCTGCCTCTTCTGACAAATGTAATAGGACGAATTTCATATCCAATCTGGTTTATGGTTCCCTATGCGAGTTCACAGCTCCAAACAACTACAGCAGGGATGGCCTGTAGGAGCCTGGTGGGCCGCCCTGCAAAAGCAGGGAAGGATTTTCACAGCCTGAGTAGCTTCATGTCTGCCGATCACGCTTCCTTTTATTCACCCTTCATTAGAAAAAGTTGGTTTGAGAATTCTGACCGTGGTTAAGGGGATCCTCCACAGCTCCGTAAACAGTGCAGCCCCCAGCCGTGCCAGCAGGTCGGAATGACCGTGCTGGGGACTGGCTCTTGTTAAGATGCTGTTACCGGTGGCACGAGTACAGAATAATTAGGCCTCGGAAATGAGGGTTCAAACTATTCCCTGCATGCCCCCCCACCTCTTTTGCTCTACATATCTTTAAAGAATAATTGATTTGACTTTTACTAAAATACAGAGGTGACATCTTTAGAAGCACAAAGGGATAAAGGTTCACCAGTTCACAAAAATGCTTCGGGGTTGTCATTCTGCTGCATTTCCTGTGCAGCACAGTTATTTTAAGCAGAAAGTTCTGAGGGGAGCAGAGAGGTTCGCCTCTGGCTCAACCCTTTGGTGGAGGTTCTCTCTCTGTTAGAAGGTTGCAGACACAGACACGGAAGGTCACCTTCCACACAGGTGTTCCTGGAAAGAAAGTCCCGCCCTTTGAGTACATTCCTGACACTTGAATAGGCCATGGACACATCGTCACATGTCAAGACACTTCAGTGATTTTAGAGACCCTGCAGGCCTTCGGGTGCTTTCATCTTGGTAATATTATTGTTCGTAGATGGTCATTGCTTTCATGGAAGGCTTGGCCCTTAATTTCTCCTTTGTTCCTTCCTCCTTTCCTTGGGTCCTAATATTTTGACCACTGTTCAAAACTAGGGGAAAAAAAAAACCTCGTTTTGTTTTTCTCATTGATACCACAGTGGTCATAGTACCGTCCGTAGCATCATCCTTGGGATTTTTATATTGTTTTTACAAACCTCCAAAAGTCTCTGGTTTGCCAGAATTTGAGAAACCTCTTTTCCCCAACCACCACACACACACATGCTCGCGCGCACACTCACACACGTTTTTGTTGTGTTAACTGTAACTAAGTATACCAACTAGAGACAGAGGTAGAATCTAAATTTGCTCTCAGAAATGCACATCTCCTTTTAGGGGGAAAAAAACCCACTCCCCACCACCAGTTTTCTTTTCCAACTGGAAGTGCTCGTGTCTGCTTAAGCCTGGTGGTTTAAATTGTGACCTCCCAGGCACATGTACCTGTTGTTTGCCAGAAGAGTTGAAGGGTTGATGCCTTAGAGCTCGTCTTGTCCCCGGGGTGAAGTCACAGCATCCCAGACAAGCGCTGTGCTACCTTCAGATCCCCCCAGGAGAGTCACAGCCTTGGTGACCTGTTCAGCTGTTCGGCAAACTCAGATGACTTTCTTCACAGCTGTTTGGTGCCCCTCTTATCAGAGTGTGAGTCCGTGTCCTTCTCTCCTGGCCTTGGGAGAGGGGAGCTATTGGTCAGTCCCTGCTTTGTCCGAAATAGCTTTTTTTCAGGCTGCGTTTCTTTTACTTTCCCCCAGAGTCCCTTACAGAGCTGAATGTCAGCTCACTTCAACAAATATATACAATTGACCCTTGAACAACACAGGTTTGAACTGCGTGGTCCACTTACCTGCAGATTTTTTTTTTCATTATTAAATACTACAGTGCGACATGATCCGTGGTTGGTTGAATCCCTGGATAGAGAGAAACCATGACTATAGAGGGCCAACTATGGGATTTTCAACTGCGTGCACCCCTAATCCCTGTGTTGTTCAAGGGTCAGCTGTATAAAGTAATGTTTATGTGCTAAGCCCTGGCTTAGATGCTGGGGTCCCTGCTTCCCCAGGGTGTAGTGGGAAGGAAGGACATTAAAATAGTAATTACAGGTATATATTTGGAAGCGTAAAACAAGGGGACTTACCCAACTTGGTCTCCGCCCGAGCCACAGTCACCTTGAGTTCCTTCCTGACTTCTCAAATTTGTCACTCACCCCTGCTTTAGCTTGGCATCACCCGCAAACTTAGTGGGCCTGCCCGCTTTCATGGGGACTGAGAGAGGGTAAAGACACTGGATTGGGAGTCAGAAGACCTGAGTTCTGAGGTCACATTCCAACTCTGCCTTATGTTTTAGGGCATCACATAACCTTTCTGAACCACAATGTTTTCATCTGTGAAATAGTTGTTATCTGGCCTGCCAACCAAACTGAAGTGTGGAGTGAGCAGATCCCATGTGATAATGTGGGTAAAAGAACTGTGAACATTATAAAGTGTTGTGTAAATGAACGTACCACATTCAGATTATTTAATTAAAATTTGAAGCTAGTCTCTGGCTCCTGTCCAAGCAGCAAGACTGTCCTTGGGGACAATCGGGCATTTCCCTCATGAGTCACCTGTTCTTTCTAAGGATGTTGCCAAGCTGGGAGAAGATAGCCCCTGGGAGCAGGGAACTTAGCCTGGCCTTGTGGAATCTGCTCTGCCTGCCAGTAGAAAGAGCCTGTTCTGCAGCCAGAAGGATGTTTTCTGTTTGCCCGCTCCATAATTGGACCTATGGTGGAGTTATAAATGGCAGAATCAAACACAGTGTGAGTGCTGTGTGGCGTTGCCCCTTTAACTTTCTCTCTGAGCAGCTCAGAGCGCTGAGGCCAGCCGCTCTGGGCCCAAGCTGGTGACATATCTCCTCATTCAATTCTCAGCACAGTATTAATCTCAGCAGTAAAACAATCTGCAAACAACCTTTGACAATAAAATGGGTTAATTCCTTCTGAACTGAGTACCAAAATATTTAGGCAGTTTCCTAAAAGAGTTGGTACATTTTATTTTAGTTTTTTAATGAAAAAAAAAAACAAACCTATTCCCAGAGAGCAGTTTATAAATAGTCTTTTAAAATAATAAACATGAGCGGGAGGTAGGGTGTAGCTCAGTGGTAGAGCGTGTGCTTAGCATGCATGAGGTTTTGGGTTCAATCCCAAGTCCCTCCATTAAAAATAAATAAATAAACCTAATTATCCCCACACACACACACAAATATAAAATAAAATAATAAACATGAAATGGGTTTCCTGAAACCCCATCATGTAAGGATCCAGGGGGTCCCAGTGTCTACACTGCCCCTCCTTGTAACTGTTGTACCTCATTTCACTCAATAAACACAGAAGCCACTTAGAATCCATTACTTCACGTAATTACAGAATCTACTGAAAAGGAACATGGATTCCCCTTCAGGACTTAAGCCCTGCATCCCTCCAGACAATTGGAGGAAGTTTTACTCTGGATACAAGAGGACAGTCTGTTTCCATATATATTTCCCTTTGATTTCAGCTAAGTTCTATCCAGTTAATTTCAGTGAAAGAAAAATTCTCTGCCAGGTCTCCCTCTGTTTAAAGCAAAAGCAGAAATAATGGTAAAGATTCTTATAGGGGTTTTAGAAGAGATTGGTAAAGGTCACCTAGAAAGTTTGCAGCCATTTCAACGAGCTACTAAAGGCCTGTTAACTGAATGTTCAGAAAAACACACCTGGGAGGAGCTGCTTTGTGGGGGAGTCACTTGGAGATGCAGCCAGTTTCCTTCCTCTTGTGTTGTAGCCTTGAGGGCCTGAAGTTTCTGTATGATGTTTTCCACCTCTGTGGAAAATGTACATTTTCTATTTCATATAGTTGTCAGAATATCACCATCTCTCTCTTTTGTGATTATCAAGTTTTTCTGAAATGTATTTACACATATGAATTAAGCTAGCACTTTTGTCTGACATGAACGTATCTCCAGTTTGTGAAGGGGAAACCTGATTTGCTTTCCAGGCATTCATTTTCCAACTAATTGTTTCCAGAAACACATGCTCTTCCACAGAGCAAGGTACCAGAACGTCCTAAATATTTGATGAAACATGAAATCCCATGGAATCATATTATCAGTCTGTGAACCACCTCTTAAGAGTTATATAAAATGAGAAATCTAACTTATTTTTGTAATATAACCCAGAAGTTTTTTTCCCTTGTTGTTCTGTGATCTGTCTTGTCCAGCTTTTCCCTCACTTTGTTTTTTTTTTTCCAGTTCTTTAACATTTATTTCTTAGAACTCAAAGTGTATTCTGTCTGTATTCATCCCGCACAGATGCTTGTTTAAAATGTTTTTTCACTTGTATCTTCTGTTTTTACTTACATCATCTTTCACTTTACTGTGTGTGGAACATGGTTTCTCACCTACTCATGTGCCATTAAAGATGCAGTATTAACAAACTGGCTTTTATAAAAGCGTCAGTATTTGCTGTTTATTTTGAAAGCCTTAAGGCAGACTTGCAAATGAGTACTAAAACTGTACTAGCCCATAAGAAGTGTTCGCTCTACTTATCTGGCGTGGATGTCTCAATGTTTGGTGTGTTCGCCAGGTTATTTGGTGGTAACTAATAGCTCTTTGTAAAGGGGAAATAAGGGCTCTCTCTTCTCCCACCTCCCCGACAGTTACTGAGGAATACTGTTACGCCCGTATTCAGAATTGTTGTGACAGCAGCAGCGCTCTCCATCTGCAGTCCCTCTGCCTGGGAACCGAGAATGATTCATGCCCTGCTCCCTACCTCAGTGTGCCTGTTTTCATAAACACATCCTTTCCCGCCTGTGTTAGCTCCCTGATTTTGCTATTGTCAGTTTGAAAAAGAAAAAATGGATGATTGCTGCTGTTGAGTGCAGGTGCTGTATATTTCTGGAAACCACTGCATCTCTACTGGCCGGTTCCTATGTAATCTCTGCATAATGTTATCCTTCTCTCTCTTCCATTTCCCTATCACCAACCCTATAGAGTCGGGATATAAGCCCAGAAGAGATAGATTTAAAGAATGAACCTTGGTATAAATTCTTTTCGGAATTGGAGTTTGGGAAACCGGTAAGTTTAATAGCTTCAGCGGTTATAGACACCTTTTTAAATAATGCTCTTGATGCATTGTTGCTGCTAAAGAATTAGATCTATTTGTAAGGAACTCAGGCCGTGGGGAGCAGCCTTACTGGCTGTCAGTGGTGGGACTGTCTAGTCTCACTACAGCCTGTAAGCTTTCTATTGCTTTGCTTCCCCAAGATCAGACAGTGAGCTCTGGAAAGTATTTCTTGGCTAGAAGATCCCAGGGAGACACAGCTAAAGCATTACTTGTCTAGGACCTCCTACCAGTAGCAACAAATATAACACACCTTGTGGATTGCATTATTTCAGCCATTGATTCAGTTTCTTGACCAAAGTCTTGTCCTGAAGACAAGCAGGAAAACACATTACACACTGAGAAGGACCAGCATTGTCACTGCTTTAAGTAGAAATTTTAAAAGCACATATGCAAGGAAAGTGCCACAGCAAGCCAAAAAGGGCTTCTCTGTGCAGATGTGATCTGCGGATGCCACCCCATCACAGGTGACTTTTAGGGAATGATTCCTGTTAGGTAAAGTACTATTTCCCAAAATTAGAAATGGGAGCTAGCAATGCTAGCAAACTTAGTGTTCACCCTACTATCCTATAGCTTCCCTGTGATGTGTCTGAGTTGACTTTGGTACAAATTGATTTTTGGCACTTAAAAGAGAATTTTCTTGACCCTGCACCCAAATGAATATCAAACAGAAGGGAGAACTGAGCTCATTTTTCCACTGGAGATGACTGGAAACTGACTTTAAAACTTCGTTATTTTAAAGTCTTAATTACGACAGCCACAAAAAGAATTTACAGGTGGTGGGAATAAGCATATAAAACTAGAACATTTTATTAGATGTTTATATGAGACTTTAAGCATTGAATCCAGCATTTGAATCACTGTGATTTAGAACGATAGTTTTATTTGCAGATAGCAATTAACTTTATAGTTCAGTAAGATGTCAAATTCCCTAGTATTTTTTTCTTTCCCTAGTGTATTTTTTAAGACAAAGACAGCAGGTGCTCTTGAATTGCTGATTTGATTTAGTGATGCTGAGCTTTGACTGTTCAGGCATCTTCTAAGTTAGGAGCACCTAACTTGCAAACACCTTGCTTGTAGGAACAGGCATTCCTCCCACCTTGTCCCCTCCCAGACACTGCCGCCTCATAGCAGCTAAGGGGTCATGAGTGAACAGCGCCACCTAGTGACCAGTGGAGAGAAACATATCTAACCCAAAGTGCACCATCTCCTCCCCTCCCCAAAGCTTTGGTGCACACCTCACTTCTCTCTCTCCCTTCTTCCTCTGCTGCCCACCATTCAGATATGAGTGAAGCCTACCTCAGGCAGTCTTTTCCGCATGCAAATGTTTAACAACATCCTAACCCTTTTTCTTTTTCTTAAAACCTACTCAATTATCTCACAGATCTTTTGAAATGTAGGCCCCTCCCACACCCCCAAAAGGACCATGATTGGTGTACGTAACAATAATGCCATACTTTCATCAGGAAAAGCAAAAGCTATTAGTTTTAAATTATGTATAATAAGGAGTTCATGCCACTGATTTTTGAAGTCCTTTTCAGAATTCACAAATTTCTAGCTGTCTAATGTGCCAAATAACCAAGTTTTACTGAAATACTGACTTTTAGGAAAAGTTACGAAGCCATTTTTTTCTAATTAGTTGTGATTGATTTGTTTTTTTTACTTAATCTGTCATTTGTAAATACTTCTATTTTTGTTAGCAATAGACAGTATTTCAGTCACAGCATACTTAAATAGGCTCTGTGAATACTTCAGTAAATGAACAGTGTTTCTACTGGAAACTGTGGTGTGAGCACCACACAGCCAATCCAGACAAACATTGAGAACACAGTCCATTGTGTATTGGGACCTTCCTATCATTTGTACTCCCGCCCTGTTGTCCTAACTGCCGCTTAATTATTTAAAGACTTAGAGATGTCTTTAAATAAGAGATGCTTTTCTACAATGTCATTTTCTCTGACCACAGAGTATTTCTTGCATAGACCTTAGAGTCCTTAAATGGGACTAGATGGGGCTTTTGAAGACTTGCCAAAATGACTAAGTCAAGTGCCCTTACCCTGAGGAACAGCGTTTTGATGGACAGGTCCTTATGGTCCAAGGCGTCCTAAGGGTGGGCTTATCATATAGTTGAACCAAGTTGATGACTGGCTATTATTTCCAGGGTTTGGGAAGGTGTAGTGGGGAGAAACATTTTCTTCTCTTCAGTTCTCTCCTACCCCAGTCAACTCTGGGCCACAAAAGAGCAAGAGACACAAGGAAAAGGCATTTAAACCGTGGAAATTGTTTTGGAAGATTTTCTAGTCATTCAGAAGCAGAATGAAATGAAAACTATCAAATCATGTGGATCATCATTTTTCCTTTTTATTCCACACCCACCCAGGCTCTGCTTCCCCCCAGGGAGGAAAGCCTGCCTGAGCTGAAGGCGTTTACCCTGCACTCCCTTCTTCCTTGGCCCCTTTACTAAAAGGCACACAAAAGAAGCTGAAGTTTCAGCGAGCTCCTGACAGTAACACCTTTTTGTTCCAACAAGTTGTTGCCGAATATCAAATAATTCAAGACTCCGTAGACCATTTAGGGGAAGATTATTTAAAACAATTCAATTTGTAAACACTGTCTTTTTTTTTTTTTGCAGTAAGTAAAGAAATGAATGGGGGTGCTGTCAGTGAGTTTAAAAAGTCTTCTTCCCCAGATGAACATTCCAAGTGTATTAAGCACTTAAAAATGAGTGAATATTGTTAATGGCGCTCACTTTACAAATTGCAGAATGTGTGTATACAGAGATCCCAGTTGATGTCAGTGGTGAAGGCACCCTAAATCAGATTACTTGTCATTTGTAAATTCATTATAAAGGGCCTGGGTGTCAGCTTTTTCTTCTTTCCCTGCCCTAATTTCTATAGAAACTGATGTGATTTCTGTAAATAAGCTCAAGACAAAATGTAAAACCAATTTGAATGCTTCCATAGAATTAGCAATGATGAAATTTGCACAAGATTGTAGAAGTTATTAATGGTCTCATCTTCCTGGAGGTCATTGTGTAAGAAATTTCAAGTCTAAGTAGGGAGAGAAAAGTTTACTCAGTGGGAGAAAGGTTCAGGGTTAGGAGTGGCTTGTAGCTTCCAGACATCCTACTTTCTGAATCCTTCCCTCATTAAACTTACAACTCCGGGCAGATTTCCACCTTGGGGATGCAGCTCTAACATGAAGAGTTAAAGGAGAAAAAACAAAAATAACCTTACAGGTCAGTATTTAAATTCAAAATATAAACTGTCCTCTGAGGGAGGTAGAAGGTGTGTCTTTACCACTCGCAGTGCTACCCAAGTCTAGTAAACTGGAAAAGGAGATGGTTTTAATTTATGAGATTGTCTGGTTACTCAGCACAGTACTTAACACCCATTTTGTACATAGATTTCATTGTCAGGAACCACAGAAAGCACATTTACCTCCATTTGCCCTCCATTGGTCAGATTTCCAGATCCACACATTTAGGAACACGAATGAATTTGATGGCAGGGAAGACTGCTTCAAAGACATAGGATCTCAGGGTCGATCTTGGTTGGAAAAGAACAACGAGGGATTTAAGTGTTTCCCTTTTTGTTCAAATTGGCATTCATACTCTTTTCGTCCTTTGTTCCTTTCAAAGTTTTCGGTATTTAAAATCCAACAACGATTGACTCTTGAGACGCAGACGTGGAACAAATTCCCCACTTGGCACTTCCAGCCCCCGAGTTCCGTGGGGTCCCCAGGCGGTCTCAGGAGGCAGGGCGCCCGCTCCTTCTGTTTTTAGTTCACTTTTCCGTGTTGGGACAGTTCTCCCAGTGTTGCCCCTCCTTGTTTGAGCGAGTCTCCATGTTTGTCTCTATGTCTTTATGCTCATTTCTTCATTTCCTCCTCTGCTTCCCGTCAGCCTCCCAAAAAGATATGGGATTATACTCCTGGAGACTGCTCTATCCTTCCTAGAGAGGATAGAAAGGTAATTCCGCTGTGCCTCCTCCCGTGGGCTCTGTGTGTGTGTGTGTGCGCGCTCTGGCCTGGCTAGTGTGAGTGTGTTGTGGGGTTTTTTCTTTTATTTTCTTAAATCCCCCCCCTTTTTTTTTTAACTTGATTGTAACTTATTTTTTGGCTTGGTGATGAAACAGTTTAACAAAGTCTCTAAGACTTATACTAATATGTAGAGAGGTGTTGAAAGCAATTACTTAGTCCTCTGACATAGTATGTTTGCCAGCGTCACCATGCTCTGAAAAGAGAGAAAATAGTATTTCCTTAAAGGTAGGTGTTTGCAGGACTTGCAGTTCCTGTCTTTAGCAAGTAGCGTAGTGTTTTGGAGCGCTGATTACCTCGGGATTTACATTTATGCCTAATGCTGCATTCTGTTCTCCTGTCTCTAACTCATCTCGAGTAAGCTCTGTGTTTTAGTCTTGCCATCTTTGCCTTATTAACGTGTGACACTGAACAGACTCATTTTTTCAAACGTGACCGTCCGTTCTGCCTGCCTTTCCTCCTAACTAAAGCACTCTTTCCCGTCTTTTCTTTCTTGAACCAGACTAACCTAGAAAAAGATCTCAACCTCTGCCAAACAGAGTTAGAGGCAGATTTAGAAAAACCGGAGACGCTTAATAAAGCACCCAGTGCAAACCTGTCACAGGTATTTCCGAGTTTTTCTCCTGCCCTCAGTGCCCTTTGCTTTCTTCTTTGTTCTACGGTTGTTGATGTACTTGAGGTGATGGATGGTCACACTGGTTATTTTTAAGCTGCATGGCTTTCTGACTCCTGTTTTAGATTACCTCCTACCCCACCCCACCCCGCTCCCCAACTTAATTTTTGCTTGGATTCCTTTTGAGCTTGGCATCTTAAAGGTCGGATTTTTCATATGTACGCAGGGTGGTTGGTGATTTAGCTACTCCCCCCATACCATCCTCTTTCTCTACTTTCAAGGGGTCACCTTTTTAACTCCCTTCTGCCCCCTTTGGGTGTTCACCTTCTCTGAATTTTCAGGGAGTCATTTTTGGGCAACTTCCTTGTCTTTTCTGCAGCTCTGGGAGATACCAACCTCAGAGATCATTTTCCGAAACACAGCAGCAGTGATGTGAGTGCCTCTTACATGCGTGATGCTGTCAGAGTAGTAGCATTTGTAATTTGCAAGATCAGAAAGTTCTCAATGAAAAAATGCACTCCGGAGGCCAGACGGCCTGGCCACAAGCATTTGAAACTCAGCCTGCATTGATATTCCTAAAGGGAGCTAGGTCCCGGTGCAGTTTATCAAAGGATATGTCAGAAAGAGAGAGCAGCCAAGGTAAATGGGCTCCCAAGAGGAAGAAAAAATACCAAATGTTTGGAGAACTGCCCCAGGGCTCCCTGACAAAACAAAGGAGACTCTTAGAAGGAAAGAGTCTCTTCACAGAAAATAAAAAAGGAATGAGAACATTGATGAAGAGGTGAAGACGTCAGCGGACTATGGCAGGAGAAGTGGAAAATGCTAATGGATCATGTTCTTAAGCAGAACTAAGACAAGGAGGGTCAGACCAGCAGCATGAGCGACTTGGGTACGAAGTCATGAGAGTGCCAGAGACTCAAACCAGGGAAGAGGAAACCCAGGGGGGACGATGGCAGCGGCCCAGGGCCCGGGACAAGAGGGGCAGAAGCCGAGAAGGGCAAGCACATCCAGGGGAGTTAGGGTTTGGGAAGCCAGAGTCACCGAAGGGTGAGGCAGCCGCAGGACCAGCGGTCGGGCACAGGGGAGGCTGAGAAGGTGAGCAGAGCGCACACAGTCAGGCGATGGGTGGGGAAAGTGGCGGGGGCTGAGTTACAGCCGGTATGGAGACTGGAACCAGCTGTAGCTGCTGTGGGGATGGAGGTCTGAGCGAGCCGGAGCAGAACTGTGGCTACAGCTAAGTCCTGAAGTGAGCTGGGGTGCAGGACGGGGGCCCAGAACAAATCAACACTCTCCAGGGTCTGAGGTGGTTCCTAAAACATGCCAGGATGGAGGACAACTGAAGGGCCACCTCCCTGGGCAGAGATGGCACCGGTACCTCCAGCCCTGCCCAGGGCTGGGTGGATAGGACCCAAAGGAGCGTCAGCTGCAGAAAGGAATCACCTTGATGGACATGGGTTCAGCTGTGTGTCACCCTAATGCAACTGAGACATGCTGAGGGAGGTTCTGAATCAGCACAAAAATGGACTCTGCCCTCAGGAACATGACAGCTTAGTCACACTCATAAATAAACGTTCTCTAATACTGCACAGCAGGGCCTGGTAAGAACTGAATAAACACTGTGGGCTCTAAGCTCTCAGAAGAGGCAGAGACCCTATGGGAAATCGGGGAGGATTTCTCAGGAGTTGGCTGAGATCTTAAAGGACTGATGGCATTTAGGAACATGGTGGAAATGGGGACTGAGAATGGGACAAGTGCCAAGGGTGGGAGACTCCAGGAAAGGATGGGCCAGAGAGACTGGTGCAGGCAAAGGGGCTGAAAGGATGGATGTGGAGGTGAGAGTAGGGCCTTCTTAGGAGTGATGGGGGCAGCTGGGCCGGTGGGTGAGCCCTGATGGAGGTGCCTCCTCTCCTGTCATCTTCATTCACCGTCTCTTCCTTTCCTTGCTCCTGTTTCTCTCCTTTCCTCAAGTATCTCTCCCCAGGTGGCTTGTTTTCCTTGATGTGGTCATTAGTAGAGGCAGGAGCATCTTTCAAAGCTAACGTTTACACTGATGTGTGCAACTGCCACATCATTTGTAAAAACAAATGTATCAAACCCTTTGCCTTTCTTCTTCCAAGACAGCAGAGACCCTAGACCGTGTGGTTGTGCTGCCTTTTCTCTGCACGGAGCTCCTGGCAGTTTTCTTCGTTTTGCATAGTGGCCTGTAGTTTTTATAACACCGTTCCTCCACTCATGCTGAAATGCTCATTGATAGGTTTAGTGAAACTGCATTTCTCCCCATTTCTACATGTCTATATCTGCAGGGGGAAACAGTCTAAAACTGCTGTCTTTTAAAATGCATTTTTGTACGTTCTGTGCCTGAAGTGTTGGGTGACCCTCTCTGGCTGTGGCATTTGGGTGCATGAAGGAGTCCAGTGGGCTTGGCAGGGGGTCTGAGGGCTGGGGATGAGCTGGTGAAGGATGCTGTCCATGTCACTTATGCATGTTGCCAAATGGTGGGCCATCTGCCTGGCGGGCCTGCGACCGAAGGTAAATGTAAAGAGTTTATGTGGCTGTCCCCTGACCCACCCAGAGAGCCTTGGCTGTGGCCACTGGGAGGTGCAGAGAACCCTCCACCGGCACTGAAGCCTTTCCAGCCGGCTCCCCGGCTCCCATGGGGGCCTCATCTGAATTAGGAAAGGAAGGGGGCATCTCTCTCTTTTCCCCTTGACTTGAAACATCTGGGTCAAAATAAATCATCTACACCTTTTCTTTTTTTTTTTGACATTTACAGAGCTCTGCAGTCAGCCCCACTCCGGACATTTCTTCAGAGCCTCCTGGATAGTAAGTTGCCACTGTTTCCATGGCTTAATGTATTAAATGTCAGAAATGGGTAGAAGCTTGTGTTTTATTTGTTATCAGTCTAGTGGCTTTGGATGATGTACAGTTCGGTGATAAGTAGCAATTATAGTCTTCAAATTATTTTTCTTTTTTCTCCTCATCCAAATTAATTTTGTGGGTGATTTATATTACCTTTGATAAGCTTTTCTCTGCATTGGCATCTTTAGAATGTTTGTCTGAGTTTAGAATCAGCGTTCTCCTCATTTGCTGATTCTTGCAGGGAGCGGGTGAATGACTGAGGCCGCATCTGGTATAAAGGGGGGTAGGGGGTTGGGTCCTCAGGCTGGACCTGTCACGGGGGAAGATGGGGCCGAGAGGGGGCTAATTCGTTTGAGTCTCAGAGATCTGGATTTATTTCCCCATACCAGTTCTTAGAATTCTACCTGGGTACACCACACACACTTCCTCATGGGGTAACCACCAGCCTCCTTTCCTCCCCAAACCATCCCATGTCCTGTCCCAGATTCCTGGTCTCAGTACTTTGTTATATAGCTGTCGTCCCAGCCAAAGATGTTGGTGCTGCCCCCACCCTTACTGACCTGGGAAATAGCTTGTATAACTGAGCTCTGAGCCTTCCTGTTCCCAGTCTCGCGTTCCTACCTCTTATAGTGCTTACTTCTATTGCTCTGCACCTGAATTCTGCTCTTGTGTTGTTATAACTACTAGTAAGCTATAAACTCCATGCATCTCCATAGTGCCTGGTGCATGCAAGAGATCTGGGAGCTGTCTGGCAGGAGTGGCTTCTCATCCCATCACCATTATGTCAGCACCTACAGCTCACTCCGAAATACAAGGGGGAAAGGCACACTCTTACCTGCTCCACGTAGGTGGGGTGAATCCACAGTGAGCAAAGTTCGCTTGTTCAAGCAGAAGCCTGACTTGGTCTGAATGCTGAGCTTATGGATCGGAGGGGCAAATATCATGGTCACTTGGGCATATCCAACCTGCCCTGCCCAAGAAGGCATTTTGCAAGAGTAGTTTCATTTGAAAATCAGTCAGCAGGGATTGGCGTATTTGGGTGGAAAGTCGCTTCAGGTGGCTGGCTGGCTGAGTGAACTTCTGCTGGACCTAAGGCACTATGCTGGGTATTAGAAGAGGCGCATAAGATACAGTCTCCCCCTAGTTTTAGGGGCAAAACACACACAAAAATAAATGGTAATAAAGAATAAGGCAACATGGCCAATGAATGAAATAGATCATAAAGGTTAAAAGTACTCGGAAGAGAAGGCAGCTCCCACAGGCTGTCAGCGTGAGGAGCACAGGTCTTGAATGAAATGATAATTTTCATTCAACTTAGTATTTACTACATGCCAGGCCCTGTGCTTAGCATCGCATGTTCTTGACCTCATTTAGCCCTCAGCGTTCCAGGATCAGGCGTCATTTTTAATCCCCATTGTGTAGCTGAGGAAACAGGCACATGAAGGTAGCGTGTGCCCAGGTTCCACAGCTGTGCGCGGCAGAGCCGTCGCCCGAGGAGGGACGATGAAGCTCCAGGCTAGGGCCTGCCTCGATTGATGGGTGTTAGCAGTAAACTCTCACCTGCACACGTACTGATTCATAGTAAGTGAACAGAAGGCATGCTAAAATTAACTGTCTTGAGTGATGAAAAACAACTTAAGCAACTATTTGTGTAGTAGTGTGTTAGCAGGATTGAAGGGGACTAATGCAAGCTTTTTAAGAGAGCAGACCACTTTCAGACACTCTGAGCAATTGTGTGCATAAAGGTATTTGAGGTGTGAATTTACCAAGGGCTCGTATTTGTATCATTGAAATAGGTCTCCAAAAGACCTCTGTTTTTCAGCCATAGCCCCGCTCTCATGAAACACTTGGCAGGAAGGAATAAGCTTTTCCCTCCAGCTATTCTGTCATTTGGGGATTTTTCAGTAATTCAGGTTTGGTTTTCTCCCAGTTGGTTCAAGTGAATAAAGTTTTTCTGTATTTGGAGTTGGTAAGGAGCCAGCCTAAGCCAGTGCCTGACACATGGGGAAATACACAATAAATGTTTGCTGAATAAATGAATGCATCTATAAATCTTAATTAACTGGAATCTGGCTCACGTAGTACCAAGGCAGGCAGCTTTGAACTGCATCTGGCCTTTTTCACCACATGGACAGGAATCAACATGTGAAAAAAACACTGGCAAGGCTTGACTTAACCCAAGGACTGAAGAAAGAGGAATCACCAATGGCCCAGGCTCAGAAGCTCTGTGGTCCCTGGAATAGTGGCGGTGTTGTTTTAAATCCACATTCACATCTTGGGGAGACTGCGGTTTAGAATTTTATTATCTTGAGTCCATATCACAATATTGAAAGAACCTGGGAAGAGAGGAAGAAATTCTCCCATAGTCCCAATATCCTAATGCAACTATCAGTCCTTCCTCTCAAAAAATATATTTTTATGCTAGTGATCATAGTGTATGCCCCACTTCGTATTTTATTTCCCTGGAGTTTTCAGATTTATAAGTCAGCAGTGTAGACTACTTGTTATTTTCATCATTACTTAGCATTTTGACATTGATTAGCACAAACGCATGTTTTGCCTAACCAAAGAGCTTTACTCTATTCAGCCAGCAGGTGGCACTAAAGAACAAGCTGCTCTTTCCTAAATGGTGATGGTTCTCTAGAGAAAACACTTTTCCCCCCTAATCTCATGTAAGATCAAAACACAAATCATTGCCTGAAGAACTGTATGAAAGATTAGAGATTCCTCTAGGCCTCTGTGTGCATGTAGGCATTTAATTTCATAGAATCGTTTATTCCACTAATACATATTTATTGAACAACAGTGCTAGACACCAGGCATGCAAAGATTGATCAAATAAACTGCCTTCCCTTAAGGGACTCAGAGTGTCATTGGGAAATTATACACTTGTACATAACAGTCAAAATGCAGTGTGGTAAATGCAGTGATGGGACCCACAAAGGAGTGAACACTCTGTTGTCCAGGAGAGAAAAGAAAGGTTTCACAGAGCAGCAGCAAATGAGTTAGAGAGTGATAAATATATGATGTCACTTATATGTGGAATCTAAAAAAATGATACAAATGAACTTATTTACAAAACAGAAATAGACTCACAGACATAGAGAACAAACATATGGTTAACAAAGGGGAAAGAGGTGAGGAGGGATAAATTAGGAATTTGGGATTAACAGATACAAACTACTGTATATAAAATAAACAAGGACCTACCGTATAGCACAGGGAACTATATCAATATAATAACCTGTAACAGAAAAGAATCTGAGAAAGAATAGATACATATGTATAGCTAAATCATTTTGCTGTATACCTGAAACTAATACAGCATTGTAAATCAACTATACTTCAATAAAGAAGTGAATGACAGTAACATATTATAAATACAAAACATTTTTTATGCAGTACAAAGGCTCTAAGATTGTCTAGACTCCCTCCCCCAAAGTCTAGGCAGTTACTTTTTTTTCTTTCTGAAAATAGCAAGTGGTTTTGAACAGTGAATTCAGTGAAGCTGGAATTTTTTTGTCTATTTTGTCCCCTGTTGAATCTCCATGTAGGAGAGTGATTGACACTTAGTAGATGCTTGGTAAATAATCGTGGAGTGAGTCAAGTGAGCAATGGAATGACATATTGAGATCTTCTCTAGAATTATCACTGGCAGTGATTTACAAAGATGATTGGAGAGACTCCAGTGGGAGCGATGGTGTGCTTTCTGCAGAGGTGGAGGTGAGCGTTTGTGAGCGGTTTGTGAGAGAGAAAGGATGGATGTGTGCTGTTATCAAGGACAGGGAGTAAGCAGGACTTGGTGACTGCTTAGGTCTGGGAGCAAGGAGAGGGCAAGGGGGTTGATTTTTCAGCATTCTAGCATGGGTGAAGGAAGACAGAGGAGCAGAGCCAGGTTTGGTCTGGGACATGTTGGATTTAAGATGCCTGAGGACCACTCAGGTGAGGATGTCTAGAAGGCACTTGAATGTCTGTGTCTGGAGCTCAAAAGAAAATCTTCATCTATTTGAAGATGGATTTCTTGGGTAGTCTCACCATGCTTGTTAGTTTTGCAGTTGAAAGAAATTGAGGCTGAGCGAAGCCGATTGTTTCCAAGTTTTTAAACAGAGCGGGTTAGCCTCAGCTGATCCCATTCCTTGTTGGAGCCAGGCTGGAATCACAGCCTGCCAGGACCCTGCCTGCCTCCTCCGGAGCCCACCTGTTAGCATGATTGGAAACAGTTGGCCCTAAAATGACTGCTCTATTCTCTCACTTTATTCTTCTAGTGAGTGTGTTTTAGTTGAATCCCCCTTGAAACTCAGCAGCCAGCTCTGCAGCTTAGCCAAGAGGATGAGTTCTCCGCACTGTCTCCTCCTGGCTTGCTCTTTCGGAGCTGAAAATGGCTCAACTCAGGCTGCAGGAGGCTGCGCTGCTGAATTTGACTTGATTCGTTAAGTAATCGGTGGCTGCTGGTCCTGATTGGGCCTTTCTCCATTAGCCTGGCTGGTTTTCCCATCCTCTCTGATCTGTTTGAACCCAGCAAAGACCCAACAACCCTGTGACCTTCTGCAAATGCCTTCAGCACTCTTGGTCCTCAGGTTCCCCTCTGGGACAGTGGGACAGATGACAGGTCTCTCCAACATTAGGAAGTCTGATGGAGGTGATACATTTAAAAACATTGTTCCAGAGCTTTTGGACACTGTTTTTAAACAAGAAGCCCCTTAGTTGCAGTGTTACACATCTGGGAAAAGTGTGTTGGCTTTGGTATCAGAAAGAAAACAATTGGCTATGGCAAATCCATTCTGAGGGATTTCCTGAGTGCTGGTTTGTTGTTCTGTTGGGGAAACAGGAAAAAGTGGTGATAAGGAGTGGAATAAAGCCAGAAGTGGGGTGGCTGTGGGTGGGAGCTGGGTTCTGACAGCTGGTGAATTGGTGGGGGTGTGAAGTCAAGCAGCCGGTTATGGCCTCGAGTCATGACCAAATGAGGTTAGGAGGGACTAGAGCAGACGGGGTTGGAAGTCCTGACCAAGCTGAGGCAGTTCAGAGAACGGCAGGGTAGGAGCTGCTGTCAGTCACTCCTGATATTCAGGGAGATCTGGTGACTCCAGACTAAGGCGAGCAGGGCTTCTGAGACTGTTCCCTCACAAAATGAACCTCAGTCACCACGGTGTTGGTTGGTGAGGCTGAGGACATCTATTTGTGGATCTTTTCTCAGTTGATGTTGTACAGAAAGGAGAAACATGGGGTTAAACTGAAGGATAGAGTCAGAAAATGCAACCAAAAGAAGAGGGTGGACTCAAAGGGAAATTTAGAAAAGGGCCTGATTGATTTTTAATAACAAAATTCAAAGTTAAAGCCAGTTTAGATGAGCTTACGTTTGTTTAAATTGGCATATATTGCCACAACCTTGCCAGGCACCTTTAGGGGTCCTCCAGCCCTCTAGCGAGGATTGACGGCTTTTATCAACCAGAACCGGGGATGGCAGCTGCAGGGAGAAGCAGGCGAGCCCAAAGCGGCGTGCGTGGCAGCCCCTGTCCCCCAGCCTGGAAAGCCAAGCCTCTTGGTCTCTAGGGGTGGGAATGGGCACCTTCAGGCAGGGGTCAGGGGCACCAGTAAGGAGAGCAGTGTAAGCCGGGGCCAGCCTAACTCCTGCTTTGTTCCTCTTGCCACCCTTCCGATGACTCCAGTCACTGATGTCTGATGTCAGGAAATTGGAGCCCTTGGTAAATGTGATAGAATCCTTATACCTGTGGATTTCTAAATACGTAATTTTGCAAATCACAACCTATCCTTAGTCAGATTGTGTGTGCCAAATTTGCTTTCCGAAAATGTGTCCTTTGATGCATTCCACAAGTATGTACTGAGTGAATTCATGGCCGAGATACTCTAGTGGGCTCCTGCAAGTAAGAGTCTCACCCCTTCCCGCCCCCTCCCACCGGTTTCTTCTGTCTGAGACACACCTTGGCGGCTGCTCTGCAGACTCACGTCCTTCACATGCTTTTGTTCTTAGCTTCGAGGGAGGTTTTCTGGCCCATCAGATTCCCAGTAATGCTCTCTGGCTTCAGCTGAGGAAAGAGGGAAAGCGTTTGACCCCTGGACCTAGGCCAGAGTGAATGAGGGGGTGCCCTGACTGCCTGGCAGGCCCCTGAACGGAGCACGTGGGGCCTGTAAACAGCAGGGGGCACAGGGCCAGGGCCCAGGGCTTGGTGGTGACTGGGAGGGGGTTACCAGGGCTGGAAGCAGTGGAATTCCTCAGGGGAACCTAACAGCTCCAAGGCGGAGACATTACCTGTCCTAGCACAGGGCCTCCGCCTCTTTTCCACTTCTGACCCCTGGTTCTGGACCCATGTGTCCCAGGGGTGCATTCATGGCAGGTGACACTCGGCAGTGATGATGCACACGGAGCTCCAGCATCCTTAAGTCCCTGTCTCCCCTGATGTGTGAGCCTGGGCCCTTGGAAGGCACTGCCTCCTGGGTCATGGGAAAACACTACATAGAAAACAGCCACTGAGGGTACTAACCACGCTGGCTTTAACTAGAGCCTGACTCTCCCAGGGCCTCGTCCTCATCTGAAAATGGGGGAAGTAGGATTGTTTGTGGGAATTAAAGAGAGAGTGATCACCCAGCACTTAGCGCAGTGCCTCCTCCACGGGAGTGCTCGCCAAGCGCGGTGGGGCACCGCAGGGGACCCAGAGTCTGTGGGAAGGGTAAAACGGTTCAATCATGATGCAAGGGTGAAGGGAAGGAGACGGACAGGTGTGTGAGAAAGCACATGCAGCCCAGTGTTCCTTGTAGAATCTAGGTTGGGCAGTGTTGTGTGGAATGTTCACTCGTATAATTCCTCAAGCTTTTCTTTCCACTGGATAATATTCATAATAAAATGTTTGGAATTGGTGATTTCACCCAGCTGTTTACAACTTCAGGGCTGAAAAGTCCATGCTGATGCCAGTAAACAGAATTCAGTAGGACTGAAAAGCAGCCTAGCGGGAGCCTGAGTGCTTCCATGGGGAAGGGGTCATCACTTACCCGAGCGAGTGTGTGTGCACATGTGTGAGTGTGCCCGTGTGTTGGTGTGCCAGTGGGTGAGGGCATGGAAAACTGGAATCAGGGGAAAGGGAGGTTTCAGCCAGTAAGTGCTCTTCATTTTTTCTGTGCCCCACCTGCTTCTAAAAAGGATTTGTGGTAACTTGCAAAAATGCCTAGACTTTCAACAAGACAAGAATAACTGAAGGATGTCAATGAGCAATAGTTTTTACTCATAATACGCATCATAAGGTTCTGAATACAGATCTGGAAAGCAGTGGGTGCAAAACGTGGCTGGGATCGGAGCATGTAGAATCTCAGCTTCCAGTTGCGCTTGGTGGCTGATCTCCCGAGAGCCCAGAACAGCTGGGCCATCTCCTTTCACTGTTGATTTTAATGCTCCACTAGTCAAAGCCCTTGTGAAAAACCCAGAAAAATAACCCAGGTGGTGGACCTGAAGTGGCCAACGCTGGCCAGCAACATCTTAGAGGCCCCACTCATGTCCTCGACTGTCCCATCTTGTGTGCAGCCCCTGCACACACACACACACACACACCCCGCCTTCTGTCCCCAGGCAGTGTTTCTCAGAGTTATTCTTTTAGAGCACAAATGCAGGCATCTCAGTTAGAGAGCCCCGCTGTTTGGCCTCCTGAGCATTGAGGGGCACCCGTGGGCCTGTCTTGTCTGTAGAGCTCTGTCTAAATAAGATTGCCTTTTAAAAAGGACAGTGCTTGGTTGGGATGCTAGGAAATGTGTCCCCTTGTCCTCAGCTGGTGGTGTGCTTTTTAGAAAAATGTTAAAAACACTAACTCTTATTTTCTGTTTTTTTTCCCCCTTCTCTTTCTTTGAAAATTACCTTGTTCTTAGTATATATTCTTCCAACTTCCACGCCGTGAAGAGGGAATCAGATGGGGCTCCTGGGGATCTTGCTAGCTTGGAGAGCGAGAGGCAGATTTACAAAAGCGTCTTGGAAGGAGGAGACATCCCTCTCCAGGGCCTGAGCGGCCTCAAGCGGCCATCCAGCTCAGCCTCCACTAAAGGTAACTGGGTGAAGCCTGCTGGCTCTCGCCCGTCCACCCGGTGATCAGGGTGTCTCTCGCCACCCACACCTATTATCCAGGTGTTGGCAGTGTGTGAACCTCCAGCTCCTGGGATAAGTTTTGCCTTGTTCAGATCCATTTCCAGGCCTTGGTGCCCTCTTGGTCCCCTCCCCTAGTTTCTCACCGGCCATTTTTCTTTCTGGTATTAATAGTTTCCCTTCCTCCAAACCCTACCCTTGCTCTCCCTGAAGCATCTCTCTCTTTTTTGTTGATTCCCTTTTCTTAGAAATTAGCTGAGCTTTAGCCTTTCCTAACTCTAGCAGGGTGGCCATTTTTCGTTGCATCTTTGCACCTGCTTTGCAGCACAGATTATTTTGCTTCCGGACATCGACTAGAAATTAAAACAAAACAAAACAAAACAAAAACCTTTATGACCAATAAGCATGTTACCTCTCCCCCCACCCCTTTTTTTAAAGCAGCTTTCAGCTTGAACCTAATGGGTCTGTTTATTTTATTCTGCATGCTTTCCAGTGGATCGTAAAGGTGGGAATGCTCACATGATTTCTTCATCTTCAGTTCATAGCCGAACGGTTCACGGTAGCAATGTGTTAGGCCCTGGGTGTAAGCACAAGAAACCCCTGTCCGCTGCGAAAGCCTGCATTTCGGAAATCCTTCCCTCCAAATTCAAACCCAGGCTCTCTGCTCCCAGCGCTCTTCTGCAGGATCAGAAGAGCGTTCTGTTGCCCACAGAAAAGGCTCAGAGCTGCGAGAACCTTTGTGTCTCGGTTTCTCTGAATGAATCCAAACGAGGCCTCCCCCTGCAAGTGGGGGGCAGCGTGGAGAACCTGCTGCTGCGCTCCCGGCGGGACTACGACAGCAGGTCGAGCAGCACCCTGAGCCTGCAGGAGTACAGCACCAGCGCCAGGAGGCCCTGCCCGCTGTCCAGGAAGGCCGGCATGCAGTTCTCCATGCTCTACCGGGACATGCACCAGATCAACCGGGCCGGCCTCTTCCTGGGGTCCGGCTCCTCCTCCAGCGTGCGGGATCTCGCCTCCCACTTCGAGAGGAGCAGCCTGGTGCTGTCCAGGGGCGAGCTGGGCTCCAGCCAGGAGGGCTCGGAGCACATCCCCAAGCACACAGTCTCCTCTCGCATCACGGCTTTCGAGCAGCTGATTCAGCGGTCCCGGTCCATGCCGTCGCTGGACCTGTCCGGCCGGCTGAGCAAGTCCCCCACGCCCGCGCTGAGCCGGAGCGGCCTGACCTCCGCCCGCTCGGCCGAGTCCCTGCTGGAGTCCACGAAGCTCCGGCCCAGGGAGGTGGACGGGATGAACCCCGGGGGCGTCTACGCCTCCCCGTGCGGCAGGCTGGCGGACCCCGCCTTGGGCTTCCGGGGCCTCGGGCCTTCCGAGCCCCTCTCCGCCTGCTCGGACGAGCTGGACCGCTGTTCCAACGTGTCCAGTGACAGCCGGGAGGGCAGCAGCGGCAGCGTTCACGGAGACTTCCCCAAACACCGCCTCAGCAAGTGCAAGGGCACCTGCCCGGCCTCCTACACCCGCTTCACCACCATCCGCCGGCACGAGCAGCAGCAGACCTCCAGGCGGCCCGACTGGCGCGCGGACCCCCGGGGCGACAAGGGCGCGCTCCTCCGGAACATCTACCTGATGAGCCCCCTCCCCTTCCGGTTGAAAAAGCCCCTCCCGCACCACCCCAGACAGCCTTGCCCCAGGGACTTGTCAAGCCAGAAGCCAGACCCCCCCAGGCAGCCCCAGCAGGACGAGCGCCCCTCCCAGGGGAAGCCTTTGGTTCCCAAACGCCTGTCTTCCCGGCACACCATGGCCAGGCTGAGCCAGATCTCAGAGCCCCCTGAGGAGAGACCCGCGGCCCCGGAGGCCGGCCCCAGGGCCTTTACTAATGGGAACTCTGTGCTGTACCCAGACCACGGCCTGGACAGGAACAACAACCCGCACAGTGAACTGGGGACGTCCCTCGGAGGTGGCCTTCTGTGTATTTGCCCAGTCTCACCTCACCCATCTCTCCACTCTGCTTGCTTTTCCCCTCCCGCCGTGTGCCCTTGGTGCTCATTTTCTGGTCCGTCCTTTGTTTTCTGTTTGTTTGGCTTGGCAATTAATCATGGCTCGTAGTGGCTGCACTTCTTTAAAAACAGATTTCCCACATCATGTAGACTAACCACCAAACTCTGTTTCGAAAGAAAAATTGGCCGTTTTAGCTCATCTGAGAAATTTGTTCATTTGAACTTTTGAACCCATTGTAATTCGCACTGATCCCAACTCAGCCCGTGGTTTTTTGAGAGGCAGCCCTGTGTGTATGTGTGTGTGTGTGTGTGTGTGTGTGTGTGTGTGTGTGTGTGAGTGTTCAGTGTGTCCCTGTGAGAGCCTGCACGCCTCTTCATGGGGACACTTTCCAAAGGAGGTCTTCTCTTTGCTCACCTTTTGCCTCTGATTAGTTTTCTTGGTATTAAACTAGTTCACAAGTAAATCCAAAAAGCAGGAGGAAGGGGAGGGGATTTGGTTTTTTTCCTTCAGAATTGGAACACTGACCACCAAACAACCACGGTAAAAACTTGACATCACGGATGAAAGGTGAAATCTTTCCAGTCTGGTTTCCCTCTCAATCTGTACCTGTTTTAATTCTACTTTATTGTTTTGAAGATTCAGAATCACCAAGGCATTTTATACCAGCTGATTACTTGGAATCCACAGAAGAATTCATTCGAAGACGTCATGATGATAAAGAGGTAATCTCCACTTTAAAGCCTCTTTAGCTCTCGTGCAGATAAAAATATAAAGGAAGTAAACAGTGAGGTGACATGGCTTAGCAATTAGAAGGCAACATTGGGGTTTTCACAGGTGACATTTTTATGACATGGGCTCAATCACTCTTTCAGTCAACCTTTCCAAAAAGTAGGACTGATTATCCCCACAGTGCTAGGTTCCCAATGCCAAGTCCAGCCGGTGCTGCTGCCCTGGAAGTTTAGAAAAGTTGCCCACCAGTGCGCTCAGTGCCTTGTAAGGGGAACCTGGAGTCCCTCCCCATAACCCCCACCTCATTATTCTCCAGGGAATCCCACCCTCCTGTGTCTCCAATGCTGCCCACCCTCTCCTGGCACAAAGCACAGTTCATATTGAGGATGCAGTAGGAGAAAGGAAACTGAAAGAGAATAATGACTGTGATACATTTTATAAAAACAGATTGAAGAAGTTGCCTTTAACTCAGAAGAAGAGATAACCCCCATAAAAGTTGGGAACCCCCCTGCCCCCAACCCAGAACTTCAGCGTACAGACCTTGTCTTGCAGCTTCTGAAATGCCTGTACTGCAGTCATGTGACTGATGGGGCCAGGAAGGGAGCATGTTCTCTTGGGATTTAGGAAGAGGTAGTTCAACACATCAGCTAAATGGACAAAATCACAAGCTTCTGTTGTGATGAAGTATCATTAGGAGGTGTGCTTTCTAGACTTCACATTCCCAGAAGAAAGAGTCCTTTATGTTAAACAAGCTCTGATGACCATTTTCCTGCAATGAATTAAGAGACGTGGTGGCAGCCAGGAAGAGGGTGTACACAACTCTGTCCCTTTCCCTGTAAAGTCTGAAGCCCTTTTCCTATGTTCCGTTTTGTTGAGTGGTTTCAGAGTTTAGGGGGACTTGCCTTGAGGATTTAGGGTAAGGCTGACACTGAAATGAGCTTGGAGAATAATAGTCACTGCTGCCAGATGGGGAGACAAAGGACAAAAAGGACCATAGCTTTGCCCGTCTCCTGGCACAATACAGACAGTACTCACGGGCACCTGTTGGTGGAAAGAAATGGGAGGAAGCATTTGATGGACAGAATTATTTGTAGTAATGAGGTGAAAAGCTCACTCACGATGAGTGTCCCTCAGGCCATGGGACAGATTCATTTTTGTCACTGTCCCTGAGATACAAGATTCCCACCTATCTAAACCTGGGCTGCTCGACATTCTGTTTCTGCAGTTTAAACCCTTGTATCCAACGTGGGAGGTTTTGTGGTATAATTCTTGGCTGCCGCATGGGAGGCAGACTGTCCTTTGTTAGTTTAACAATTCAGAGGGTGAGCAGCTTGTGCCCTGGACAGTGCTGGCTCACAGATCCTTGTGTCCTTATCCATGGTTTTTGGTTTATGTGGTTAAACTGTGGGAATGACGGATTTATTGAGGTCAGAATCAAGCACTGGCTGGGGAGCTCTGCTCCATTTGCATCCATCCATTTTCATCACTGCAGAAAACAGCCCACACGTCCCAGCTAAGGGAACGTCAGTCCTGGCATGTTTCTATGCAAATAGCTTATTATTAACATTAATGAAAACGACATTTCAGAAAAACGAGAACCTGTCAGTCCTGAGAGGGATGTTAGTGGTCATCTAACATATCCAGGAAAGGACTGCCACAGGGCAGTGGCTTGCCCAGGGCCACGTAGCACGTTAACTTGTACCAGAGGCAGAGCTGGACATCAGGGCTCTACTGTGCTTCATAAAGCACTTTCTCATGTCTTTTCTCATTTTCATCTTTACAACTACTTACTTGAGCACTGGTAGAATTCCCACAGCCATTTGATGAGCTGTCACTTTATTATTTTAGATCCTGGAGAAAAATAGAAAAATGCCCCCACCCCAGCCCACCCCCCGGAGCTAGGTGTCCCTCAAGGCATTTAGTTGCCTGCTGGAAAAGACTAATGTTTTCCTGAGATTGCTAAGAATTACCAGTTCTACCTAATACTTTGCTGCAAGGAATGTTAATCCCAGGAATGTGTGATTGGTATGGAGTAAGAAAATACATTAAAATTCTCTTCTACAGGGTCATGTCAATAGGCAATGAGGACATTGACTTAAATGCAACATTGTTCAAGTATTTTAAAAGGCTTTTAAAAATAGATGACTTATTTCCTTAATTTAGGAGAGGCAATTTCTTCTAAACCCAGGTACCATTATTCTTAGTTTATTGTCTATATTTATAGTCTACATCATTCCCTTAAATTCAGCTTCATTTCACCTAAGATAGCAGTAGTGAAGTAAAAAGTACAATAAGAAAGTAACTAATGGTGGGGAAGGTACAGCTCAGTGGTAGAGTGTGTGCTTAGCATGCACAAAGTCCTGGGTTCAGTCCCCAGTACCTCCATTAAAATGAATAAATAATTACCTCCCTACTAAGATAAAAATTTTTCTAATTTAAAAAGGAAAGAAACTGATGCTCTCTTGTCACATAAATAGTCTTTGGTGCATATGCTAAGGCCTCCTAAAAATTGTGCTTGGAGGAAGGGTTCGCCGGCGTAGGAAGGGTGCCGTATTTCTTGAAATGGATATCTACTCCCCTGAGCATATTAGACTAACAAGAATAGGAAGCACAAAAATGACCTGCTTGCCAGAGACTCCACGTGGTAAAAGCCCGTAGCAGGTTTGATGGGCCTGATCTGGGCAGAAGGAATCAGGCAGCCCCGGTCCCA